TTAAATCTTATATCTTAAATCTTTGTTACACTAATTTTGAACGCATCCAATACACTTTGCGTTATAGAAAACACTGAATTTAAATATATTTTAACTAGAAAAAATTCCGCAAAATCTTTGTTTTTTCTGAAATGTACCGTCATCAGATGCTTTGATTTGAAATTAGCTAAAAAGTGTTAATTAAATCAACTAACAATTTTGACGCGTTCAAATGAGGTTCTGGAATTGTGTTTGAGTATTGTTAATATTTTAGTAACTTGATTTACTGTAAAGTAACATATAAAATTCGTAAGATAATATTCTGAATTTAATAAATCATCTAATCTAAATCTAATACTTATATACTAATTTTAGCTTATATAGACTCATATGTAAAAGTTAAATATCAACAAAGTTTCCTGGAGTACAAGTATTACGATACTTGTTGATGTTATTGATATTTATTTATTTCTTACATAAATTAATAAAAAGGTATTTCAGTTTAAATAATTTGAGTTTTTCCATTTTTATAGAAACAGAAAGGTCAAAATCCTTTTCTCATAAAAATCTTGCTCTTTAATCACTTTGAAGTAGAGGTAGTCTCTTCTACTTTATCACTTCATTGATTAGTCAACTTTTGTATGGGATTGTTCTTCATTTTATCTTTCAATTCAAATATCACCTATAATAAAAATTAAAAATCTTTTGTAATCAACTAGTACATATTCTTTTACAAAGTAGTCCGATATCACAATTTTAAAATTGTAAGTATTGAAATGTTTACCTATATTGTAAATAAAAAATTTCACAAGCATCTCTGAACTTATACTAATATTGAAATAAGGTTAGAACTCTATATATCTATTTTAATAAATAAATAGCGAACGGGAACATATTTTCCCAATCGAGCAGAAACATTGTAAACTTAATGTATTTTCATGCCTGAACAATCAATATGTTATTTACTTAATGAATACCAAAATGCTTTTTATCGATGTTTTGATTTTATAATGAGTTTAGTTTTACCAAGCTGAAATATTTCATAAATATACGATAAAAAATATTAAACTTTCGAAACAATACATAGATAACACAATTTCTGGCTCTATTTTCTGCATTTTTTTCCGACTACCACTGCAACACCTTTTCATTTCCTTTTTAAGACACAACCAAATCAGCGATACATTGTTAATGTTATTCCTACGGTATAGACAAATTTTCGTAATGATAGAACATTTACATTGAAATATGTATATCAATATACCTTTTCTATCGTCCAGTCGAGTTATGTTCGCATAACGAAGATCTATTATTCAGATAAAGTAAATTGAATACTTCCTTCTAGTCTACATTTGTGTCTAGAAGGTTTGTGTCATTGAGGTAACCTGTGATATAGTTTTATATAGATATCAATGATGTAATCTAAGTGTGGCAAATAATATATATATATGCGAGCGGACCCGACAGATGTTGTCCTGCATGATATACTAAATTATTACATAATAATGTAATAATTTTGTTGTTCTTTATTTTAAAATAACATCAATTTTTCTAAAAATAATTCGTAATAATCAATAATGTTTGTTTAATTTCATCTTAATGCGAGTTAATGAACAATATTTTTAGTCAATTCGTGAGGAGTATAAATGAATATTCTTGACGGTTTTCCAACGCGAGAACACGCCACATATAATTGGCAATGTCAAAACACCTGATTTTCTAGATCTATCCCACAAATCGACATTGTTTGACCTTGTGACTTATTAATAGTCATTGCAAATACCAAGCGAATTGAAAATTGCATACGTCTGAATGGAATGGATGAGTCTGAAGGGATCATTGGGATTTGTGGCAGGAGAACTACTTCACTTTCAAATTTACCATTCAAAATTGTAGCTTCAAGTACATTGCCCATAATTTTTTTTATGACTAATCTCGTGCCATTGCATAGCTTAAGTGCATTTAAATTCCGCAGAAGCATTGGGCATGTAAAGACAGCAGAATTGCTGGGCACAATGCTTAGGATCATGCCATTGAGTCTTATCGCTTTGTTATCGGACCGAAAGGTATTAGGTAAAGCTTCAATAATCTACCATAACCTACCATTTTTAGAACTGCAATTATCTAAGAGTTTCTGATTTGTTTTTGATTTGTTACAGCGATGTTCATCCACCATTTTCCGAATGCTGCTGTTTAATTTAACTATGCGGGCATTGGCTGAGTTTAATTTTCAAAGGTTATCACGTTCTTTGGCAAGGGACACAACCACACTAGGAAAATTTAGTCTTAAAAGCATAATCCTACCTGCAGGAAATACTTTAGCAGTGGATTTGATAATAATTCTGCGGAATTATTTATCTGTCTTGTTCAAATCAGAGACAACATTCGGAAATTTTAAAGAGCCTAGATCACTTTTCTTGAATTTTTGAATGTTTTATCATGATCCTCACTAGACGGAATAGTGATTTTAATGGAAGTGTGATTATAACTTAGTACTATGTCAACTATACATACAGTATACGTCATGTGGCGACTGTTCCGCTTGAGCAACGAAGGACGGTTACTTCTGAGTGGTAAACCACAATTTGTTTGCCTGAAGTCTTCGGAGAAATTCGAAAACGAACAAGAGAAGACGAATCATTATTCACCATGACAACGCGAGCTATCACACATCGGCTCAACCCAGCGCCTTTTTGACCGGCCAAAACGTCGAATTGATAGGTCATCCGCCGTACAGCCCTGACTTGGCACCCAATAACTTTTTTTTATTCCCGCACATCAAGAAAAAAATGCGTGGTCAACGATTTTCGTCGCCAGAAGATGCTCTTAAAGCGTTCAAAAATCATATTTTGGAGGTGTCTCAATTGGAGTGGAAAAAGTGCTTCGACAATTGGTTTGAGCGCATGCAAAAGTGTATAAATCAGGCTGGAGAATACTTTGAAAAACAATAAACAATTTTTGTTGATAAATATTCGCATTTTCATTATTAGCTCAGGAATATATATAGCAGCCCTCGTAATTGCGTCCACATACTGTCGAAAAAATGCGCTGAAATATATCAATGTCGTGATAAAGCTCGTACAGCTCGTGGTTCATTCTAATGCGGTAGTCGTCGCCAACTCATAGAGGACCAAAGATCTTACGAAGAACTTTTCTCTCGAACACTCCCAGTGCTGCTTCATCATTCTGTGATAACGTCCATGCTTCTGCGCCATACAGAAGCACAGGGAGGATGAGCGACCTATAGAGCGTAAGTTTCGTTTGTCGAGAGAGAGCTCTACATCCCAATTGTTTACTGAGCCCATAGTAGCACCTATTAGCAATGGTGATTCTTCGTCTGATCTCCAGACTGACATCATTTGTATTCGTTACGGCGGTGTTAAGGTAGATGAAATCCTTGACAGATTCGAAAGTATAGTCGTCAGCCACTAGCCCAGTGTCCGAGCGACGCACATTTCTACCAATAGCCGACATATTCTTCGTTTTTCCCTCATTCACCGCTAAACCCATTCTTGAAGATTCCTTTTTGATAGCAGCAAAAGCAGCTGTAACATCACGCTTGCTACGCCCTATGATGTCAATGTCGTCGGCGTAAGCAAGGAGCTGGACACATTTGTAGAATATTGTTTTATTACGATGAACACCTGCCCTGCGCATGATCACTTCCATGACGAAATTGAAGAGGTCACATGATAAGGGATCACCTTGTCTAAAGCCTCGCACGGTATCAAAAGGTTCAGAGAGACTCGATCCTACCTTGACGGAGCTACGTGTATTACTCAGTGTCATTCTGCAAAGTCGTATTAATTTTGCAGGGATACCGAGCTCAGACATTGCGGCGTAAACGCGATCCCTAATGGGGCTATCGAAAGCTGCTTTATAATCGACAAAAAGATGATGAGTGTCGATGTTATGTTCGTGGGCTTTTTCTAGGATTTGTCGCAGTGTGAATATCTGATCAATGGTGGAGCGACCAGGTCGAAAGCCGCACTGATAATGTCCAATCAGTGAATTGGCATGTGGCTTCAACCTTTCACACAGTACAGTTGAAAGAACCTTGTACGCGACAGGTATTAGACTAATCCCGCGATAGTTGGCGCAAATCGTCGGGTCACCTTTTTTCAAGACAGGACAAAGGGTACTGAGATTTTTGTTCAATATTATTCAACATTAATGCGTTTTAAACTTTTCGGCATTAGAGAATAAAACAGTCACATAAAGTCAAACAGCATATGACAATTATCATGTACAATAGAGAAAACACTGGAATTACTACCATCTCGAAAAAGCTCTTAATCACTAAATAATTCTTTTCAACTTAATAATATCCGCATTTAATTCAATAGGATATAGTTCCCGAATGCAACTATAATGAAATACTTCAAACCACATTGTTTGCTCTTGCGGATATGAATAGTAATCCCCTTCCAGACGTTTCTACATTTATAATTATCGCAACAAAGAAAATATCAATTAGTTGAAGAGTATTTAAACCCTTCACTCGGATGCAGGGTCAGCTTCCTAGCCTATCAAAAACTCTTTTGGATTTATTCGCGTGCTAAGCAGTGTCACAAATCAAACTGTCTATTCCTGATATCTGCCCAATCTGATTTACTATCTATGAAGTCATCAACATATTTTATTGTGCCTCGTCATATATAAATCTGGCCCACCCGTAATTCGGTTTCAGCAAGGTGACAAAACATCCTGAACTTTTAAATAGGTAAGATACAATATCAGTATCCTCTTTCTTTTACATCAGTTTTAGAATAAATTTCAAATTCAATCCTTCATGATTTCTTTAACATGAAAAATTGGATGTCATTTTTCTCTGCTGCAAGCACTCTGATAAAGCCCTTATCGGACTGTATTATATTATAAAAAAAAAGCGATGCTAACTGTAAAATTGAAATTCAATAACTATTACCTTTACATTCTAATATAGGTATGTATAATATATTAACTAAAATATATACCACGTCATAAAGAGGAATTATTCAACCATTAATAAAATATATACCTAATCTTTATTTATTTATTTACACTTATTTATCTATAATTATACATTTATTAATCATCTTTTATAGATTTCATCATTTTCTCTCTTGCTTTATGCGTTTGTGATTTGCAGTGAGTATGATAATTACATTCGTATGCAAATGTTTTGTTACAGAGATTACAGCTACAAAGTACACAGTCATAAATATCACTGGCTCTTTTCACTGTATGCATGAACCTTACCTATGGATTCGGTCTTTATTATGGATCAGTAAATGTTGTTTTAAACACTTGTTGTTTGTAAAGCCTTTAGTGCAGAATTCGCATTTATATGGACGGTTATTAGTATGCATGCGTCTAAAACAAAAACTTTTTACCTCTTATTTTAAATAAATATTTACATTAATTATTACCCCACGTGTTGGTTTCTTTGATATGCACATGTAAATTTACGTTCGCAATAAACACAACTATATGGCCGTTCTCCAGTGTGTACACGCTCGTGTATTTTTAACTCATTACTACCCACAAACTTTTTGGGGCAATATCTAGGAAAAGAAATTCAATTTCAATAAATCTAATAACTAATATACGAAATATTTGAAATCGTTACTTGCAAGCGTGTTTTTTTATACCCTTATGTCTTCGAATGTGATAATGATAATGATTATGTGCAGTAAATATACGACCACAAAATTCGCATACCCATGTTCGATTAGTTGTGTTTTTTGGATTTGATTTTTTATGTAATGTAGGTTTTTTGTCTAACATAAATATGGGTTTAGTTTGTACTGCGCTTTCGTCGGATACAGATTCTACATTAATATTACTATTTTCTAAACTTTCCTCAATTATATCATTAAAATCGAAACTAACTGTTTTTGAGGATATATCTTCAGTAAAATCATCATCACTAACAACTTCCTCATTTTTTTGGTCAACCATTGTTTGCGAAATATCGTTTATCTTTTCGATTTTATAAAAATAGTCATATTGTGCACTTAATCGTTCCTGAAATTTGTTCGAGGAAAAGTAATTTTGTGCTCGTAAACACCTCATTTGAAATTTATAGGCTATTTCTAAATTTGTTTCACAATTTTCACATATATATGGTGGCAAGCCTACATCATTTCGTAACTAAAATGCAATTAAATGAAATTTATTCAGTCAATTATATTACTAAAGTACTAGGATATTTGGTCATAATACCTCAATACCAAGCAGGCTCTGAACTTCTCGCATAGTTTCTCTGTTTTCAAATAAATTCTGCGCAATGCTGCTATTAACAACATTGACACACAATCTGCACCAGTTTAAATCCATGGTATATCGTATACTTCAATTAATAAATCCTTTACATTATTTAAAACAGTTACCAAAAACCGAACTGTGTAGTAAAAATTCGCGCATTTAAGAAAATGTCAAAATAAAAACATGTTAGGGATGCCATTACTCAAGAATAAAATTTTTGGGCTATTCGATTGTCACAAAATTTAAGTTCAATATGACATGTACATGTCTACATAATAGAAAATACTGACTTTTTCTAATAAAGATTTATTAATAACTGGTTAAAGCAAATGCTATACAGATAATTGCTTCGCCTATATGAGATTTAATTTTTCTGTGAGCCATATTGGATTAATAATGTTTTTACACCAATGATCGACATTTCTATCTTTCAGTTCTTATGAAAGAAGTTTCATTTCTTGGAACTAAATATTAATTTTTGTTTATATTATTAGTGTCCTTATATATAAAGTATTCTTCATACATAAAAATTTCCAGAGTCATTCTTATGTTATTAAGTTTGTTCCATAGTAACTTCGAGTAACCCGTAGTAACTTCGAGTAACACTGTGTATACACAAGTGCGTTCCATCAGCAAATTTTCGTGTAAATTTTATTTGTTTTACTATGAGTAGTTCGTGGAACAGACCAATTATGTTTCTTTGCATGTTATTTTGTTACTTACTCTGACAGTAAACAGATCTTTTTTAAATCGTTTCTGGTGTTCTTTGTAGGTTTAGTATTCTTTGTTTTAATTTTTACATTAATTTTTGTGCTACAATTCACAATAATATGATTCAGCTGATGTGTTGCCGAATACCGAAAAGGTATCAGACCTGGTTCCTCGGATATGCGTAAATATTTATTTTTATTTTATGGATTGAACATTTTTATAACTTGAATTGTTAATTAATTAAGTTGAAATAAAGTAAAAAATAATTTAAACACTTGTTTAATATTGGTTTCGTTTTTTAGGAATATACAAAAAATATAATCAATAAAAGTTAAAATCCTAAGAAACAAAACCGACTTTAAAATATTTTCGACGTAACAATTCAAAAAATTTAAAACAAAATTAGACTTGTTTAATGCTGAAAATTTTCAGAATATACAACATTCATGCACATTTTTATATGTGCGTTAAAAAGTCTTTGTGATTTAAGTTGCAATTATCGACCTACATTAGCACATTTTTGTATAAATTTTTATGAAAAATGACATTAATTGCTTTACATAAGCTCAACCCGTCAATAATTTAGGTCAACATTATTATCTAGGAGTAACATTCATATACATATGTTTCTTTTTAAAATGCGCTTTTAAGAAACAATAGGCATAAAAGCAATATTAAAATAGTTGAAATATGCAACCACCGCCTCCCATTTTATCTTCAGTCTACCCTATCTCGTAGCGAATTACATCCCAACAGATAAGACAAATTCAATCCTTTGAAAATAGTTCTTTGTGGTTGTATCACTCACAAACTCAGGCAATTGCAATAACAATTACTAACTATCTATTACTAGGGGATATTTTACCAGGCACAATATTCTTCCTTGTCATTCTTGTTATCCATTTATTTTGATTTAGATAAATTGGTTTTGCTAAATATTAAGTTTATGTAGTAGAAGTAGTATTCTTCTTTATTATATATAAGTTATATTTATATAGGTTATATGCAAAATTAACTTTATACATTTTCAATAATTTATAATATACAAAACATAAATATTATAAATATTTATACTATAAATAAGTAAAACCTAACTAAATTGACATGAATAGTTTCTATTTATTCCTTATACAATTATGGCTTTCGCCGTTAATCGGAGGTTTGGACTTGTGTTTAATTGCTCTTCATTGCAGTAACTATCAGCCTATTAGTGTTAAAATGCTTCTAATATAATATTTTCTCTTTAACGAATTGCCGTTTTAGATCCATAAGATATGCCAGTTTTCTCCATTTAGCAGCATCATTAACTCGTTCATATCTAAAGTTTGTTTTTCAAAATAATGTACCCGTAAATGTGTTATATCTTCCTTTTCTCCAGTATTGCATAGTGTGCATCTCGGATCTGACGAGTTCATATAGGGAGCACAGTTGAACTTTAACAGTTCTCCTCGAGTTTTGAAAATATATCCAATTGCTTCATCACTGAAACGTTCGGCTAAGTAATTGTTGTTGTCTAAGTCAAAATCAAGTTGTCTGCGTAAAACACGAGTTAAGCTTTATCGATTTTCTGCTACGAACTTTCCTCTATACGCAATACCGATTTTTACTAATATTTTTTGCTGCCACTGCCTCCACGACTGTATGTTGTCGATTATCAACGTTTCTCCGTGATCCGTTGTTAGATCAGCTCACGTTTTAAAAAAGGGGCTCTTTTCTCCAAGTAGAGATATAGCTAAGATTTTAGCTAACCGCAAGCTTGCCATATTAAAAACTTTTAACATATACTTGAAGTGGGTTTCTAAAGTGTATAAGTACAGAGGTGACAAGTCAGTCTCCAAATAAATCATTCGGTTGGGTGTGTTAAGCGGTAATCGCCATATTTTTTTTACAAAAAATCGTAAAAGTTTTTATACTTCTTCATATTGCAGATCTCCCCATACCTGAGGCACATAGCACATCTTGTAGTAGCTTCGTAGAGTTAAAATTTTGTTTTGAATGATAAATTATTTTTAAATATATTTTTCCATGAGCAGTTAATAGCTTTTTTAGTTTCCTTCAATTTTTCATTAAATGTCTATTAAATGTAGCATTATGTTATAATGCATCCATGTTCCAAGATATTTATATTCCTTAACTATTTCTATATTTTCTCTCTCTAGTGTCCATATTTCTTCATTTGTATATCACCTGTGATGCTTTTTAAAGATTATTGCTTTTGATTTTCCAATATTAACTGTTAGCCCCCATAGCATACAGTAACAGTGTAGTTCGTTTATCATAATTTGTAAACAGTCGGGACTTTCTGCTAGGAGAATGATGTTATCTGCATACAAAACAGTTTTAACATTTACACCATTTATATATGTACCTCCAGATAGATGTGTAACCACGTTGTCTATATAAATTGAAAACGGAATCGGACTGAGTACGCAACCTTGTTTACCTCCTGCATCAATAGGAAACCATTCTGATAAGTGTTTCCCATCCCATACAGCTGCATGATTTTCGGTATATAAACTGCTTAGAATCTTAATAAATTTAGTTGACATGCCAATACTACAGAGTTTATATAATAAAGCGTTTCTGTTTACTGAGTCAAACGCTGCTTTAAAATCGAAGAAGAATGTATATAGCTTTTGCCTTTTTCCATGTACTGCTTGGCTTTACTTGTAAAACATAAAATATTATCGATTGTTAAGTATCCTTTCCTAAAATCTGTCTGGTATTCACTGAGTAAATTATATTCTGCTACCCAAGCCTTTAGCCTTTCAAGGAGCATTCCTGTGAATAATTTTTCATTGGAGTTTAAAAAGGAAATGTCTCTATAATTATTCGCAATCTGCAGGTTTCCTTTTTTTAAGAGCGGATAAATGATAACTGTTTTTAAGCCTTTAGGAGCTGTTCTGGCATTTCATACTTTATTAAAAACTAATACTAACTTTGCGATAAAATTTGATGATGTATTTTTATAGATCTCTATGAGGATTCTGCCTTCTCTCGGCGCTTTATTGAACTTGCTGTTTATTAATATTTTATTAATTTCTTCTGTAGTGATTTTATTATTCATTATCCAGATCTATTTTAATATTTGATTAACGAAACTAAATGCATACCCAACTTGAGCATTCAATAGCGTTGAGAAGTAACACGACAAATGGGTAGAATTCAACTCTGTACTTTTGGTGAACTTTTGTCCATTAAGTTTTCGCAACATATTCCAATACGCTTTGCTACCATTAACTGATCTTAAGTAGTTAGCTTACTCAGAGTAATATAAGTTTTACATTTACAAAGTAGTTTAAACTCTTTATTTGCACTTGTATATAACAGTTGGGCTTCCACTTCTTCATGCTGCTTTGCAGTGTGAAGTAAATTGAATGTTCGCCTTTGTGCTGAATCGCATTCCGCATCATACCATGCTTGCTTATATTTTCTTTATGAGTGTTTTTATTTCAACAATTTAATTCCATTTTCAGCTGTTAGTTGGTAATCTTCCATTAAAAATAACTTGTGCTCTAAGTTTAATGCAAATTTATGTGCATTTCGATCTGAGCACAACTGTTTAAGAAGTAATTTTAGTTCCACCTGTTCTGGGTTTCTGGAAAACTGACCAGAGACATTTACTTCTCGTGGCATATGATCCGGGTAAATTAAGTCAACTAATTTAAAGTTTTTGACTAATTGCGCCCATAGTCCTTTAATTAAGCAATAGTCTATTACTGAACGACCATTATTTCTTATATAGGTAAATTCTACTTTCTCTTAGCGCATGCAGAGTATACGGATTATGCTCATAGACTTGCTTATCACAAATTCTTGCATTAAAATCACCAACAATCATAACATTTTCTAGTCCAGCATCTGTAAGGAAGTCATTGAAAGTTTTCAAAATCCCTTTCCCAGTTATTGCAGGCTTCCGTAAGTCGTAGTTAATTTAACAAGTGTTCTTCTACCACTTAGAATAAAGTTCGCTTTATTTGTTAAATGTGTTTGCTTCTTTATCGCATATAGTTCGCCTCCAATTTGCTGTGTAATGTTTTGTTTTTTAAACCGGCTACATTATATGATAATATTTTCAAGTTAAAGCTGCCATGTAATGCTGACTCGTTGTTGAATTCTACTGTACGTTTAATTCTAGAAACTTTTTTAATTTCATTTGAATGTGTTGTTTGCCTTTTTTCGTGCAAACGCTTTCCGAAATATTTACTAGTTTTTTGGATTTATTTTGTTGTGCAATTCAATATAGTTGATACATATATTTTTTACCTTGGTACCGTATAGTAATTGTAAAGCAGCACCTGCATCTTCATTATTGTTCATTAGTTTGTAATGAACAGTAACCCACCTAAACCATTTGTTCCCTATCCGTAATTTATCATATCTAACGGTAACGCGATGTTTCGATCTCACTTGGAGTATTTGCTTTTTTAATTCCAGCATAATACTGTCCCTGCCAGCTTACCAGCATTTTTCAGTACTTCTACTACGTTTTCTTCTGTCTCCATCTCTACACTAGTACGGTCATATTACCGTCTTTTTCAGACGTTTTTCGAGTATCATTTATTTTTGTTGAAACTTGAAGAACATCACTTCATAGTTTTTGTACTTCTTCACCTAATGCTTTATTCGCTAGTAGACCTTTGAAAATTGAATGTTTCTTTTTTGCTTGCGTTTCAAGCGTAGAAATCCTTTTACTATCTAAAGTCCTATGGTATATGCTTTGAGGTTTTCAACTTCAACTTTTTAGATTTTCGTTAAAACTTCTTTTTTACCATTCTTAATTATGTCTTTTAATTGGTTCACACTCAGATCGCCTACTTTAAGAGTATAATTAAAGCTACTCAGTCCGTCTTCAGACGAGGTTGTAAGTTTATTGCCGCCTTTTACATGTCCTTGATTATTGGAATAAGGTCTCAATTATTGACATTTTACGAAACATTAACAGGAATATTTTTGTAAAACATTCACAAGTGGCATTAGTTTGTTTAAATTTCAGTATCAGATATTCAGGGTACTAAGATGACCATAGAATATAATTGAAATATTGGTTTAAATAAAAAATTAAAAAATGATTATTATTATTATTGACCAATTAGAATGTTTTAAAAACGAAATTATTATTTACAAATTTTGGTAATTTAAACAAAGTATTATATATTGTACAATATCGTATACTTTAATGACAATATGGTATTATGAAGGTTTTATTTTGGAAATTCCTATATTTACTTAATTTACATAATAATTATGTAGTCACCTTAATGGTAGCGGGTGCGTAATAAATAAATAGACAATTTTTATATCAATCATGTTATAAATATGATATATTTATTTATGTTCAAAGGTAGTTTGTAAAAAATTCAGAACATATAACAAAATATTACCTTGCATTAATTTTTGACAATTAAAAAATTTCAAAATATTTTTTTTTACTGTTGAAGATGTCTGAAATCAATACGTACATATACAATTAGAAATATACAAAATAAATGTTTAGAATATTTCTATTTGTAAAATTACTTATAATTAAAATACATACAAGCACAAAAAATATATAATTGAAATTTTATAAGCTCCAAAAAGCTTATGTTACACCAATCGTCTTATTTATAAAATAAAAAAAGAAATTTTTATATTTTAATCACTACTCATTTGCTGCACTTTCTGAACATTTTTTTTTATGTATTTGCGATTTGCAATGAGTGCGATAATTGCATTCATATGAAAAGGTTTTATTACACGGCTCACAACTATAATGAAACAAATTAATTAAAACATTTTTTACGTATATTGTTTCCTTACCGATAACGTTCACCAATATGTATCAATAAGTGTTTTTTTAAAGCCTTATTATTTACGAATCCTTTACAACAATAATTACATTTGTGTGGACGGTAATTGGTATGCATTCGCCTATAAAGAAATCAATTTAATTCCTAAGTTGTATAAGTTATCATATTCTTACCCTTCATGCAGCTTTCTGCGATACTCAGTAGGAAATTTTTTGTCACAATATGTGCAGCCAAAGGGTTTCTCTCCAGTATGTGTGCGTTCATGATTTGTTTTTTCAGTACTCATTACAAATCGCATTGGACAATAACTACAAAATTAATTATTCGTCTATTACATAAAAATAGTATTTGCAAAATATAGTACTTGCAAGCGTATTTTTTAATTCCTTTATGTCTGCGTATATGATAATGATAATGATTGTGAGCAGTAAAGATTCGGCCGCAAAACTCGCATACCCATGTTCTGTTGCTTACATATTTTTTTGGTTTTGATTTCTTGTATATAGTAGGTTCATTATGCAACATTATTGTTGGTTGTGTTCGTACGGTATTTTCCTCAGATGATGATTCTTCTTCTTTGGGACTATTTTCTAGATTTTCCTCAATTATATCATCAAAATCATAACTTTCAGTTCCAGTTTCAGATTTAACAAGTTTAACCTTATCAATTGTTTGAGAAAGAGTATCCGCATTTCCGTTTGTATAATTATAGTCATTTTGTGAACTTAATCGCTCCTTGAATTTGTTTGAAGCAAAATAATTTTGTGCTCGTAAACATCGCATTTTAAATTTATGCGCTGATTCTAAATTCACTTCACAGTCTTCACATATATACGGTGGTAATGATGAATCGTTTTGCAACTAAATTTAAAATAAATATATATTATTTAAAAGTTTTTGCAATCTAAACCGCCGAATCTCATCAGGATATTAATTTTAATACCTTAACACCAATTAAATTCTCAATTTCTACCATAGTTGTACTATCCTCAAATAAATTTTGAGCAAAATTACTACTAACAACATTAACACATAATCTGCACCAGCTTAAATCCATAATGGAACATATGAAGTAGAAAGATTGCTCAAAGCAAAACCAATAATCAAAAAATCCATGCAACCAAATAACAACTGTGCGCCATTAAGCAAATATCAAAACAATGCAGAAATTACAGAGATGCCAATATTACAAAAAAAAAATGTTTTGCTAATTATTACGATACAACAAATGTAGTCGTAAACAGTTGCGATACGATATATAATTTTACGATATGGGATAAAGATTTCGTTGAATTCAGTTCAAAAGAATATAAGAAATATCAAAGATTTTAGTGTTAAGAACAGTGTCTAAAATTTTATTTTATGTATTTAAGTATTCAACATTTAGACAAAGGAGAATATACAAAAATAAAACGGTTGATTTATTGAAATCATCAATAAAAATGAAATGATTATTGATTCATTTTTACACTCGCAAATTGAATAAACTCCATTCTTTGAAATATATATTCAAATTGATTATTTTTATTTAGTATAATAAATGAAAAAAAAAATTTCTTGATCTAATTATACATGTAAAGAAATTTATTATATAAATAAACCACAATAAACCAAAAATAAATTTGTTTTTGTGTGTTTGACAAATGTACAAATGTTAAACTGAAAAATGTGTTTCAATTATAATAACTCCAGTATTATGATTCAGCAATAAATCATTTGCTGTAAAAAATTTCTAAATTTAATTTCTTACTAAAAAATTTCAAATTATACATTGAAAATTAATTAACTAATAAAGCTATATATTTTGTATGAATTAACTTTATTCAAAATATAATTAGTATCGATGTGGATATGTTAATCGCAAATAGTTTGCTTTGCTTCTACCAATTTTCTTTTATGAGTTAATGATTTCAGATGGGTGTGATAATTGCATTTGTATGAAAAGGATTTACCGCAGGGCTCACAACTAAAATGAAATTAATTATTTATTTAATAAGTAGGTTATAATGGTACTTCTTTACCAAAATTGCTGACCAATATGTATCAACAAATGTTTTTGTAAGGATTTATTATTTACGAATCCTTTACAACAAAATCTACATTTGTGTGGACGATTATTTGTATGCATACTTCTAAAATTAAATAAATTTAACTATTTTATAATTAAACGTTATATATATTTTTTAATCACCTTTCATGTAATTTTCTTCGATATTCAGTAGAAAATCTTTGATCGCAATACGTACAACCAAAAGGTCGTTCTCCAGTGTGTGTACGTTCGTGTATTATTTTCTCTGTACTGCATATAAATTTTTTGGGACAATAACTGAAAAACAATTTCTTTTTCAATTACTTTCATTATATACTAATTCTAAGTTGTCTTACTTGCAAGCGTGTTTTTTTATGCCCCTATGCCTTCTTATATGATGATAATAAAGATTTCGCGTAGCAAGTTGTCGACCACAGATTTCGCATATTTGTGGTCGATCACTGCTATATTTTTTTTTGCTTTTCGAATAGATAGACGGTTCATCTTCTACTAATTGTGTTGTGGTTTTTAATGGCATACTATCTTCATCAGTTGGTAATTCATGCTCAACATTGTTGTCTGCGACATCTTCATTTATACAATTTGAATCAAATATATGTATTTGTTTAAATTCTAGTTCTCTTTCATTTTTGATTGCAACTAATATATTGCACTCCATATCATTTTCTTGAATACTTTTCTTAGCTTCATCTAATCTTTCTTTAAATTTATTTGAAGCAAAATAGCTTTGTGCTCGTAAACAACGAACACGAAATTCATGTATCATTTCCAGTTTCAGTTCACAATCTTCACAAATATATGGAGGCAAATCTGCTTCGTTTTTTAACTAAAATTAAAAATGCATTAAACTTTGAATTTGTTAATCGACCTGTATTTCTTTTATAATCATTGTTTGTTTATTTTTTAACTGGCTATAGGTCACTTTTTTTCAATAAAAATAAAAAGCCTTTGTTTGATGTTTTTTAATTAATTCTATATTTCGACTTTCGACTCTCTTTGCATTGTACAATATAGACAATAGAATAAACACGACAATTGGATTAATGGATTGTAATAATATTAATTTTTATTTTTATTAGAGCATGATCCTGATGACAACTCTCAAAGGGAAGCGAAGTATAGAATTAATTAAAAAATATCAAAAAAGGATTTTTAATTTTTATTGAAAAAAAGTGGCCTATAGCCAGTTAAAAAATAAACAAGGAATCATTTATAATGCATATTACATTTAACTGTTTACATCAATTTTATAACAGAGAAGTTATACCTGAATTCCAACTAGCTCCTTAAATTCTTGCATAATTTTATTGTTATCAAACAGATTTTCTGCAACTTTGCTGCTAACAACATTAACACATAATCTGCACCAACTTAAATCCATGATGTAGTACAAGTAGCTTAATTTTTAAAATATTTAGATTCTAAACCAAAATAAATGATAAGATATTAAAACAACATCTCTCTGTCAAGAAATGTCAAATTTTGTTATCTTTCAATAGTGCCACCTTTTAAAATAAATGTTTTCTTTATTAGATTTTAACTTATTCCTTAGCTCTGATTATGTTTACTATTCTGCTATAAAGGCAAAATTTAGTTTATACAGTAATAACATCCATTTTGCACGAAAATGTATCATTAAACTAAATATAAAAATATTTTCTATAATATTTAGTTATATACATATATGTATATATATTTATTTCTATAAATTTCAAATCAATAGAAAAGTATAAATTTCGTGAGTTGATAAAGCATTGTTTTTAATGAGAAAAAAAATTTCTTTCACATAAAGCAATGTCTTGGGGAATTTTATCCAGACTTTACTCTATCGAGACAAAAGATAGAGAAGTAGTTTGCTGACTTCAAAAGTGACCGTAGACACACCGGTGATGTGTCGTCACCATCTGGTCATCCAAATTCATCAATTATGATAGAAAACAATAAAGTCCAAATATTGTTTAGTCTATTATAAGTTGAAGCTACGTGAGATAAGGTATTTTGTATGAATATTTGTTTATAAGAAAGTTCTGTTCGAAGTGGGTACTGCTATTATCCATTATATACCATTAACATTAGCAGTAAAAAATTATTTCTTTATGCGATATGCAAATATGGCTTCAGCGCTGTACTTCGGAATCAATATGGAAATTAGTTGAGATTTCCATATTTTTGGTTGCATACGATATAAAATTAATTTTTTTTTATTGGTACGGAGAAAAAAGTGTTCTTTTGTAAAGGCGATTCATCATTTGACAAGTTATTACTGCAATGTCCTGTTACGACATATTTTGTTCGTTATTTTGTAGTTTTACTTAATTTCTATAATAATATTTTAAAATAATTAATTTATTAATTTTAATCATACAATAAAAATTTTTTACAAATAAACATTGTTTTACACTTGTTATAAAGGTTACACAACGACAAGATCAACCAAAATTTCAAAATCCTATTTTTAATTTTTTGACAATTTTTTTGACACAATTTGAATATGGCACAAAAATAATTCCTAAACAAAATCTTCCATGGGGTTTTGGTGTAAACTGAGTGAGTATTGTAAGTATGTATTTTATTTAATTCATTATGTCTTTTTACTATATTTCAGTGGTACATTTTTCAAATATCCAAAATAATCAGTAATTGACTATATATAAGTATAATTAATAAAATAATTTATTCAAAAAATTCAATTTTAGTCTTCATTATTGGTATGTTTTGGTAGATAAGGCCCTAATTTTACTTTAAAATTACTTCGAATTGATTTTTCATCCATCATATAGCCCAGGCTTCTAGCGATTATTATGTGCTTGCAGATCTTAAAAGACTGTTCCTGGAAAAGAAATTTTACTTTAACAATGAAATAATATTCAAAAAACAAGCGCCTATATTAAATGTAAAAACGAATCTTTCTATAAGAAAGGTATACAAATGGTACTGATGCTAGAGATTATATTAAAAAATAAATACGAAATACAAACGAAAAAGCGTTGTTTCTAGATCAATATTTTTATTATATTTTAATTCAATTGTATATATTTAATTAAGATATAATATTTGTATCTTCTATTATATTCAAAAGTGGAGAAATATAACTCGAAAATGACTAATAATGATTCAATGTGATCTTTATAATACAATCTCTAAAAAAATTATATTTTCTTAATCTCATTAGCACACAATAGATCTTTTAGGTCGGGATGCATTCATAGTTGAGATTGACTCATTAAGTAGTCAATCTCAACTAATATAAAATTTTTTGGTTGTTTCTTGAGTTAAGTTTTACAAATTAATCTATATTAGTTTATTCAAATTTACTTAAAAAAACCAAATATAAGTGGTTAAATTTTAAAATATATGTATACGTTTGTAACTTTTCAAACATAATAACAATCATTGTGCCTTTTTTGATAACAAGTACGATATTGGAAGTTTTAAATACATTTATTCGCTGAAAATTTATATAGAATTTAACTTGAGTGATGATCATAGATTGCAGTCAATATTATTATTAAATGTTTGTTATTCATCTCGGCTATGGCGATCTTCTTAACACGATAAGAATTTTGGATGTCATAAAATGCCGTTACTGTCTAATAAGAATAGTATATGACTTGGGACTCTTGGATACGAGACTATGATAACAAAAGTCCTTGGCGCTACAAAATAAAATTTATTAATTAAGGACTTTATTGTCGATACATAAAATCGCAGCACTTATGCTATTTTAGAAATCTCATCCCATATCGCTTATTACAGAAATATGTATCTCTGCTTTAAGCTTTAATAACCGTTTACTATTTTCAGACACAAATATAAAATAATAAATTATACTAATAATACTAAAATTTTCGCAATTATTTGTCTAGATTCTAATGTTTTTGAAGATTTTCATAATGTAAATAAAAATATTTATTAGGTCAGTGGCTTCAACTCGATGTCATTTTAAACGGGACTTATAAAACGAGTTGTGATTTAATTGTTTTTAGACTTAATACATTTTAAAAAAAATTACAATTATATTTTTGAAAATAAACTCGAACAATCTCGTTGTCCTATTTTTTGAGCAATCATTTATTTCTCTAGATATCGTTAAAGGTGTTATTGTTATATTAGTCCAATGTAATCTGAAAAATAAGTTAATGTGAAAGGATGAGGTATTTGGTTGGAGGAAAGATGGATGCATAGAAGATGTTGACCCTAGTAACAACATTTAAACAACATTGGGTCAACAAGAAGATATTTAAAAATAGGTTATTATAACGATTATCTTTTCCGCAATTGTCGAAAATACATTTTGTTTAAAATATAAAGATCGTATGAATTAAATTGCTTAAAAGTATAGGGTCGAAAGAATATTTTGGTTAAACTGCATATTTACATTGTTTCTGGAGTAAGTAAATTTACTTAATAAGGTTATTAATTCTATAGATCGATATTTTAAATATAACTGGTGTTTAATCTTAGTTCCGTATCCTGGAACTATATTTGAATATATTGAGTTTCATTTTTTGTAAAGAGCACAGTTAATTGTTTGTATTTCAGTTGGTGTAAACTGTAGTACTGCGCTTATAGCATTCATCATGTGACGTTTTCCATCTGCATCTTTGGAAACCATAAAACTAATAATAACATTTTTTAAATACTCTAAATTTGCTCCTTCACGAGTTTTACAGCGCTCCAGTCTAAAAACAAATTTTTATTTCAACATACAAAATCGAACCAAATATGTTTTATACCTATCAACTTGTTCTTCCAGATTAGAAATTTGATCACTTAACTCTTCTTGAGCTGTTACTTTTTCATGAATTACTTTACGTAGTGCGGTTTCGGCTGCATACTTTGACTTACGTAGACCAGTTATTTCAATATCTTTCCGTGCTATTTCATTGGCATAATGAAGCATATGACAATTTTCACCAACTGATAGTTTCTTTGACTTTAAACCCGTTTTTGGCTTCAGCGCAGTTGGTCCCTCAACGCTTTCAGCATCAGATGACACCACGCTAGTTTCTGTGCATGCTTTATTTAGTTGCACAGTGGGCATTGAAGGTTGGAATATTTCAAACGAAGTTTGTAATGTTTTAATTTCATGCTCTTTTTCATCAAGCAACTGTAGGGAGCGCTCACGTTGCTTTTGTAATTGCTGTTCCAAATCGTTAACTTTACAACGGTATTCATTTTCTAATTCTGTTAGCGCATCCTTTCCCTTGAGACGTTCCACCTTTACTGCCTGACGTAATTTTTCGCTGTGTAACTTTATTTCAGTTTCCTGTTCATCAATATTTCGGTTTAGAACTTTAACTTTTTCTTGCAATGTAGCGATATGTGATTTTTGTACTTGCAATTTTTCTTCAAGACGTAATATATCAATCTTAGCTTAATTGTTAAATTAAATTGTTATTGACAAAATAAATTTAGAATAGAATATGAATTATTTAAAAAACAAGTCACCTGTGTCATACTGTTGATGTATGCGGTGTAAATCTTCTTTGCATTGGCTGTGATCCGTGTTAACAGCAAATATATTGCTTAAATCAATTGAATTATTTGAGTGCACATTTTCATTTAACAATATTTTTTTAAGACGTATAATTTCGTCAACAATGCCAGACGTATCTTGCAGTGAGGAACTTTTTTTTAAGGCAACAACAGAGTCTGAATCATAATTTTCACTCAATCTTTCTAGTTCTTGTAATTTTTTTTTTAAGGAGTGTATGTTTTCCTGGTCTTGTTGGCGTAAGCGATCATAACTGCCAACACTGCTGCTTAGTTCAGCAAGACGTGCTTCAAGATTAGCTACGCGTACTTCATGCAAAGCTACTTGTTTTTTGCTTTGTTCCTCAGCAACTAATGCTCTTTTCTGTTCATTTTTTATAGCTATTGCATGTTGTTCCTTTAATTGTTGCATTTCCTATAGAAAAAATATTTATTATTTTTCCACATATACAATAGTTAATTCAATATTACCAGTTGAACTTGCTTTAATACGACACTACTGTCCATAGCATCGTCCAATCCATACTTCTTGTTATAAGCTTGTAATTGTTTAATCTGTGCTTTAGCTTCCTTTAACTGTGCTTGTAGGTCTCGCCATTGATTATTTCCTGCATCATTACTAGCAAATTGAGTTTTAAAGTTATTTAACTGCATCTCAATATTTTCTTTTAAATGTCTTTCGTCACCATACAATTTTTGCAGTTCTCTAATCATTAACATTTGATTATTAGTTTCACGTTCACGATCTTGACGTTCTTTAACCCATTTGGCTTTCACCTCCTCCAAGGCTATGTTGGACTGATTTTCATTGTGCTTAATTTTTAAGTTTAATTCGTCAATAACCTCATCTTTTTGCATTAATTGTCCCCGTAATTGCTTTTTATCACCTTGAAATGAAGCTTCCATACGAGATTTCTCAGCAGATAAAGTGGCTAAGGAATTCATAAGTGTTATAATCTGCGTTTGCAAATCGGAGGAATTAAGATTTTCTTTTTCTTTTGATGTAGAGATTGATTTTGACAAGCTTTCTTGACTTGCATTAGCAGAAGTAGCTTCAACAGACAATGGAAGTTGCACATCTTGGTTAGATTTAGTTGTAATGGCAGCTAAGCTTGCTTCAAGCGCTTCTTTCTCCTTTAACAATCCTTTATATGCTGTCACTACATCTATTTACATTAAATAGACATGTAATTATTATTGTAATTATATTTTCCCTAATTTAGTTTAATTACCTTTTAACCTTTTTTCATAACGAGCAATTGTGTCTTTCTGGGTTGAAACCAGGTTTTCTAGTTCACTTCTCCTATCCATGATGCTTCAATCAACAATTTCAAGATAACATTGCTGGCAGAAATTATACCAACTGTTCAATATTGGCACTAATGAAACTAAAATGAAACCACTTAGGTTTATAAAATATCTCAAAAACATATGATTTCAATTGGAGATAATTTTAAAAGTGGCATACATGCTGCATGGGACTGTATACATCAAATAATTGCTTCATCAAACATTTTAAAAAAATTGAACATTACTTGCTACTGCTACTGCGAAATATTTAATGCGATTAACATTAGATAAACAACCATTATATATTAATATACATATTTAAGATCTTGTATATATATGTATATACACAATGCAAAATGCAAAACACATAGTTTGAAAGCTGAATTAATAATTAATTATTAATGAATTGGTCATATAAATTAATTAATTAATTTCTATATTGATTGTCATTTTGATATGGATTCTTATTCTTATTTGCGTTTGTATAGTCCTAGCTTATTCACAAAGCAGAAATAATTGTAGTTTTACACTTTCGAACCGCTTTGCTAAAGTCATATATACATAGCTAATAATAATTTTATCTCTAAATCAAAATACAGACAAAAGCAGCAATTTTTAGTTTGTATTATAGGGAATTACTTAATCTCAAGTTTTATGTGTTTTTATACAAATTAAGATTCAATTGTAATTTTACTACAAATGGAGTAGTATAGAATTTTTTTAGAAACTAAACCTGATTTAAATTTTCATTATATATTTGTAAGATTTATCACTAGTATATAAATTGCATAGATTAAGTTAATAAAATTATATAAATGTACACAAATGTACATAATGTAATTTGGTAATTTAGCAGTCATTAATTCAAAGCATAAACTTATGGCGTTTTCGATTGGTAAATCTGGATTGAACATACATTTACTCTAGAACTGTTATATTTTATTGCCTAATAGAATCTTTTTAAAGTAATTGCTTAGTAGATACTTATATTTTTCATAAATGCATATATCGAATCGAATCACAATTTATTAGGCGTCATATAAAAAGAGCTGTTTATTTCAGGGTAATCTTGCTACTCTGGCAAAATTTCAAGAGTGTTATAAATTAATTTCAAGTGTTATACATTTATTTCGAAAGTTATACAGATTTACCAATCCAAAACAAAAATTGCACTAAAAGTGTAGCTCGAAAACGCTATTATATTGAATTAAACAAACGTTGTTTTCTTTAATATTAAAAAAAATAACATATAACATATTCTGGTAATTAAATATATGTTTGTCAAACATTTTCTCAAACGTAAAGTAATACAACTCTGTAATGTACTACAGTACAGTCGTAGCGTATCTATAGTAAACACATAAAAAGACGTCTTGCTACCTGCTTCAGAAAAGTGGTAAAAATAACTCTATAATTTCGGAAAATTTAAGTTGATACTATTAATTTATAATTACTTTACATAAAACGTAAGTTAAATTGTATTAAATATGTTAGATGAGCATAAAATAAAATACTAGAAATTGAATTTTATAATTTTCTTACGTAGCCACATAAACACCCTCGAAAACTTGTACCAGCAAAAAAGAGCAATAGAGAAAACAACAACAACAATATTTACGCTTAGCAGTAGAAGTAAACGAAAGCAACCCAAATAAGAATTGCGATTATAAATTTTAGTCATGGATGAAGCAAATATACAAGACAAAGAGCGATTCGCTAGTAGGGAAAATCATTGCGAAATTGAACGACGACGTCGAAATAAAATGACTGCTTATATTACTGAGTTATCAGATATGGTGCCAACTTGCAGTGCTTTAGCACGGAAGCCTGATAAATTGACAATATTACGTATGGCGGTTGCTCATATGAAAGCCCTACGTGGCACTGGAAACACAAGCAGTGATGGAACTTACAAACCTTCTTTTCTTACCGATCAGGAATTGAAACATTTAATATTGGAAGCAGCAGATGGATTTCTTTTTGTGGTTTCGTGCGATTCTGGACGTATAATATATGTTTCAGACTCAGTAACTCCAGTATTAAATTACACTCAAAGCGATTGGTATGGTACAAGCATGTACGATCACATACATCCAGATGATCGCGAAAAAATTCGCGAACAATTATCTACGCAGGAAAATCAAAACACAGGTCGTATTTTAGATTTGAAAACTGGAACTGTTAAAAAAGAAGGTCATCAATCATCAATGCGATTAACGATGGGAGCACGCCGTGGATTTATATGCCGGATGCGCGTTGGCAATGTTAATCCTGAATCAATGGTGGCCGGTCATTTAAACCGTCTTAAGCAACGCAATTCATTAGGCCCTTCACGTGATGGTACTAATTATGCTGTAGTACATTGCACTGGTTATATAAAAAACTGGCCCCCAACTGATATGTTTCCAGGCGTCCATATGGAACGTCCTGTTGATGATGATATGCATGCTTCACATTGCTGTCTGGTAGCAATTGGCCGTCTACAGGTTACATCTACAGCTTCCACTGATATGTCAGGCTCTAACAATCAATCTGAATTTATAACACGTCATGCAATGGATGGAAAATTCACTTTTGTAGATCAACGTGTACTCAATATTCTGGGTTACACACCAACTGACTTACTTGGGAAAATTTGCTATGATTTTTTTCACCCTGAAGATCAAAGTCACATGAAGGAGAGTTTCGATCAAGTACTTAAACAAAAAGGACAAATGTTTTCCTTGATGTATCGCGCACGTGCCAAAAGTGGTGAATTTATTTGGTTACGCACACAAGCTTATGCTTTTTTAAATCCTTATACCGACGAAGTGGAGTATATTGTTTGCACTAACAGTTCAGGTAAAACTATGCATTCCACTGGTCATGAAACAAATACTCCAGACCAGTCTGAGCATGTTTATGTAGCACCTGGTGTAGATTATACGTTGCAAACGAGACGTGATGTTACACCAGCAGTTTCTGCTACTGAAGCAAATATGTTTAATACACATGGCATGATAGGTGCACATATACAAACACAAACAGCGATGGCGACACAACAACAATCAAATAATATACAACGCCCAGCTTCAGCTCAAAACCCAGTTACATATAATTATGATGCAACTCATTCACCATTAGGATATGGTACTAATGCTGGTGGACCATCTCCAAACACATCGCATTTAGCTAAAATACCTAAAGCAAATACATCACCTACACCAGCAACACCTACTTGGACATCTTTACGACAGCAACAACCCGTCACTGAAGGTTATCAATATAATCAAACGAGTCCAGCACGTTCGCCTAGTGGACCTACATATACACAACTTAGCGCTGGTAATTCTGCCAGACAAACAAATTATCATGGAACCACTCAACCACCTGCAAATGCACCCGGAATGTGGGATTGGCAAAATGCAGCACAGACACCGCAAGCTGGACTTGGTAACGCAAGTGGTCATCCATCACATGGGCATCCACATACTACACACGTGCATGGACAACCTCAGGGTCAAGAGTTTTCTGAAATGTTACAAATGCTTGATCAAAGTGGCCCCGCTACTTTTGAGGATTTAAACATAAATATGTTTAATGCCCCATTCGAATAATTTTATTGTGCAACATTTTATAAGTTAAGGGGAGCAATAATCATAAATTCATTTCTCAAGAAAATTTTTTTATAAATATTTTTATATATTATTGGTATCCACATTTGATACATTTAAACATTAATCGTGCAAAAATTATATTTTTGTTAAAAGTGTATGTATATTCAAACACTTTAATTGCCGATATTGGAAAACAATTTATTGTCACGTTCTGTTCTAAAATTATATAAAAATGTTTATATATTAAGCAGTTTTGTGATGTAAATTGTTGAAACGATATATAAATGCACAAGGTTAAAATATGTTATAAAATTCTGAAAGAATCATTTAAAAAATATATGTATTATTTTCGCTTATTGTACTTTATTTTTTTGTTTATTTTGTAATAATTACTAAAACTGCAATGGCAATAGTATACAATTGTCATTGAGGTAATTTGTACATCAACAAACACATAAAATGTTGATTCAGCAACAATTTTATATTTATTTTTTGTCATATTATTATTACACTTAAACAAATACATGTATCAAATGGATTAATGGGTTCGTCTAATTTTAAACAGTTATTATCATATTGCATTTGCATTTATTTATAGTTAAAAGAATCTAACGATTTATGAACTATAGATCTCGTATATAGTATTAGTTATCAAATTGCACAACAAATTTTTTATTGCGCCTAATATTAAGCATTCTACGACATATTAAGGATGTATTTACACAAATTGTAATTTTAGAAAATAAATTTTAGCTTTAATAAAACATTTTTTTAATACATTACATTTTTATGCTTATCTTAAGGCATGTGTCAGAAACATTGGCATCCCAAGTCAAGAACAATTTAATAAAGGACAGCATCAAAAACGAGCAAAATTGCTAGCTAACAGCGCTGAATCCCAATATGCTTTAAAGTGTTCGAAGGAAATTGCTGTATAATGTTTTCAATGTAAGGACTTGGTAACGACTTACTGAGAATATTTAGCTTTGGCGTCCATCTGTTTTCCCGTTCATATGCATAAACAAATTTGAACTATACATATTTATTTATGGCCAAGTGGAAACTGACAAGTTCCCATACAAATCATTTTTTATTAGCTCACACTCCATTCTAACCAATGCACTCGTCTTTGTATTTTTTCATGTTTCCTGCTATATACGTCCTTGCGAGTTGAAACAATAACAACGTTTAGCATTTTTTTACTGTGAAGTACAATCACTTTTCTGTAGTTTAATAATTTATTCCGTTATTATTACAAATAATTGTAATGTGTTTTACTTGTGTTTTTAAATAATAGTAGATCTAAATTGATTTCGAAAAAGAAAAATGTTTTCCTTGCTCTATTAATGAAAAGATATAATTTGATTCTGGTATGTATGTATATACATATATGTATACAACATCGTCGGCGCGCGAACGCACAGAGAAACTGCAATTTTATAACGGTGAAGATGCTGTAAAGTTCGCAGTCGCTTCGCTTGAGATGGATTGGACACGTTATGAGAATGCCGAGAATGCTGATGTATAGAACAACAATTTTGGAAGGCAAAAAAAATACATTGGCATTAGCCAGTTTTTTTATTGCAATTATGTTAAATGATAATTACTTAAAATAAAAAGAAAAACTACGAAGCTAAATTTGTTTAAAGGACTTGTTTTAGGTTTTAACTGTTTTAACTGTTTAATTAAAAATTCAAACCAGTCAAAGAATGTATTAATGAGTATAAAAAAAACTAGTAAATATCTGAGATCGTTTAGTACTATTAAAGACAAAGAAAATAGTATACATATGTTAGGCGACAAAGTTCTTAAAATGACTAAATTTAAGAAGTATTGCAATTAAAAATAGTAGTAGTGAAAAGTTCAGGTCTGATAAGGATAAGTTTGAAATTTTTGCTAATTTTTGATTTCTGAGACGTCCATGTCAGATGGATCTTCGTATCAAACACATAATCTCCTGTAAAATTTCAATCAGAATGGAAAAAACTCAGTAATAAAAAATCTTCAGATTTATTCGATACTAAAGTATTAAATGTTTGTCGAAACATTTGCAAGTGCTTGCTATATCTTATCATAGTGTAGTGCAATTTTCTAACATACATTTTTAAAACTATATCTATGCATTAAGATGAAAAATGCGTAGCCCTTCTATCACATATTCAATTTATTTTTTCTCCATTTGACCTTATGGATAAGCAATATTAGTAAACTGGAATCTTTTTTTAAACAGTTTGCTGTTAATTAATATCCTAAACTGCTAGTACATTTATATAAACTATCGTTATATTGCTTTTAATTATCATACGTTTTAACAGCAATCATAAACTTGAAAGTAACACTAATTCTTGAAAGTGACACTAGTCCGTTTACCAAAAAATTCAGCCTCTCATGTATCCACATGAACATTACAATTATCTAAGCCAGGGCTGTCCAAAGCACGGCCCGCGACCAATGTTTGTGCGGCCCGCGTAATATTTTTAATCTAGTACAATTAAGCAAACTTCCTTTTGGAGTACTGGTAAAACTTTATTATTTTATTTGTGTGGTATACCAAATAAATGAATTCAAATTGATAAATTAATAAAACTAAATTTCACATTATAACTGCATTTTTATTTTTGTCAAAAACAACTATGAACAATGTATTTGTTTCTTCAGCCCCCTAATCTATACAGTGATTTGTATTGGCCTGCGATCGCATCTGGTTTGGACAGCTATAACAAAAAAAACAATTTGGCTATAGTCAAATCTTAAATACGTATGTATATACATACGCCTGCGTTATTTGTGTTTAATATTTTTTTATTTGATTTAACATACATTGGTAAATTATATATTATCTATTCCTCCGGTTTTTCTGGCGGGGGTCCACATGGTTGAAGCATATGTTCCATTAAATTAAAACGAATTCGAGCCTTGGATTCGTTCTCAACAATCGCATAGTAGTTTAACATATCGTAGTGTCCCATATAAGATGCCAAAGAGTCTCGATGCTGATTCGTTAGCCACTCATATTTTGTTGTATCCGCATGTCCAGTACCGATATATTTACTTTGTAGATGTTCCAACTGACTATGAATATTATGAATATATCTTTCACCCATTATGTTGTAAACAGAAATGCTTTACTCTAATGATGTTTACTGTCAAACATAGAATATCTACATATGTGTAATATATTCACAATAACATTTTTTAACGCATCATAATCACAATAGATTGTAGTTAATAAATTCGAAGATATTAGAATTATATTAAATTTGTATAAGTCATATTAGAAAATTGACTTTAGCTTATTATTTTCTTTTTTATTACTATATTCTATTTTATTACTATATTCACAACAATTTTTAAACATAAAAATATGTATTATATATAAACATTTATATATAAAACTTCTACATCTAGTGAAGTATATTTTGATATGTTTGTACCAGTTTAATAATTGCCGGCAATTGGTTCGATTTGGAGTGAAGATGTGTGGGAGAACTTGCTTGTAAATATGAAGTTTATTATTATTAATTGTGTTTTTAACAATTTCTAACGAAATTTTTCAACTGATTATTTAAAATACATTTTCAGAACTTTGGATCCTAATCAAATAATTTGTGCGTGTAAGTACAAAACAACGAAGTCAGTTGATAAAACTAACTGTAAAACTAAAGAGCAAGAAGCAAACACAAAGCAGATAAAAGAAACTGACTCAAGTTATCTGTCTCCAGAATGGCGTCCAGAGTTTAATTGTGGGAGAAAATTCATTTCTTCATACAATGTAGCGCCGACAGATATAACGCCAGTACTTGTGTCCACAGATCACTTCTCAGAAGATAACAATGGCGACTATCAGTCTCGTGTCCTTGTGCCGATGATGTGGGGTATGATACCCTTTTGGCATAAAGGTGATTACCGCAAGCATGGGCTCTCTACGAACAATTGTAGATTAGAACACATGTTAAGTTCTAAACTTTATAGAGGTCCTTTTCGGCGTGGCCAACGTTGTGTCGTTCTGTGTGAAGGTTTCTACGAATGGCAAACAACAAAAACTACAAAACCTTCAGAGCGTGCTGCTTTTTTAATTCACATGCCACAGAAGGAAGGTATTATCATATATGACAAAACTACTTGGATAGAAAATATAAACCTACTAAAAATGGCTGGACTTTTTGATGTATGGGAGGACGATAATGGCGATAAAATTTATAGTTACAGCGTAATTACTTTTGAATCTTCAAGTAAATTTAATTGGATGCATCACCGTATGCCCGCTATATTAGAAAATGAACAGCAAATAAATGTATGTAATAAAAATATTTAGTTGTTTGAGAGAATAAATTAATATTTTTATTTTAGGACTGGTTAGATTTCAAGCGTGTAACAGACGAGCAGGCGCTGAACACACTTCAACCAGCTAAGGAAATTATTTGGTATCAAGTATCCAATTTAGTTAATAACTCGCGAAATAAATCTGATCAATGTAACAAACCTATTGATTTAGCTCAGAAACAAAAATTGCCTACTCCATCTAGTAATAAAACATTACTTTCTTGGCTTAATGTTCGCAAAAGACGCGAAGATTGTTTAGCAAGTGAAAATGAAGAAAAGGAATCAAATGATTCGGAAGATGAAGGTAAAGAAATTCAAATGCCTAAACGACAAAAATTTTCGGATTACAAGAAAACTTTAACGAAAGTCGATTTATTCACCGATGATGAAAAAAAAGAAGTGTGCGATGAGAACTCAGCCAAAGCGGAAAACAACAAATAAAAAAATTTCATAATGTCAAAAATAATACTAAGTTAAGTTTAAACTTAAATTTTTTTTTACTAATTTAAGTTAAAATAATTTGTATGATACACGCGGTACAGTATACCGTATTATATAAAAGTATAAATAAAAGTATTTAATTTTAATATAGTTTATACCATCCAGTCATCCGTAAAAGAATATATATATCTTAAATTTCTGTTGTCAAACAGTTAACATAAGATTTGATGAGATCATCACAACGGTATATAATAAATCTTTGTTTAATACGGTATTTAATACGGATCAGAAAATTTCTATATTCAAGTTTGTTTATTTTCTACTTTTTTTTTAATGAATAATGACAATAAGAAAAGGAAGTAATGTGTAGATAGTAAACATGTTTCATTTATTATTTTTGAGAATTGCATAAAAAGATTTCAGTTATCGGTCCAATAAACGAACGATCTATTGTGAAATCTTTTTTATATTGTATTTTCCAGTTGTGTTTTCATATCATGTATCTATTTATATTATATAACTACTTTAAATAAGATAATGAACTTGTTTAATGATGCTAGCAATTTTATTTATTAATCTCAGAAGAAGAGGTTAATTCTTGATGTGAACGAATAGGTGAAAATACGAATAAAATTATAAAATTGATCGATATTGAAATGGGAGCGACCGAGATTACATTCCGGAGTCACTCGTCAAATCTGACACCCAAACATAGCTCAGCAGTAGTTATTTTTTTGACAATTGTTCAAATATATTTGTTTTTCTCTCCAAGAAATAGGCTTTGGCCATATTGCTTCTAATGACTGGAATATAACCCAACCCAACTATAATTGCTGTTATGAGCTATATCTAGTTTGATACAGATTTTAGCTAATCCGGCACTTGAACCAGCTTAGCTTTTACACGTTATGTTATCCTCCGTACCTAGTCTGATACGGATTCACTAATCCGGCACTTTAACCAGCTTAGTAATTCACTTACGCAATCCGGCACATGAACCAGTTACGTAATTTATAAATAGCTATATATATATGTAAATATATATATAGGTATTTATTTATTTATTTTATTATTTATTGATTTTCAAATTCGGCACATAAACCGACTTTGATCAAGGTTCTTTTAGGCACTTAAACCAAAAGAAAACACTTGGTTGAATTCAGGTTTTTGAAATTGAATTAAATGTTTATTGAAAAATGTTGTGCTTTTATACAAAATTCTTAACACTAAGCTTATGGTAAAGGAGGAAATGCACCTAGTTCCCACGATTTGTTATCCGATGGACTTTGAACATTCAAGGCCAAGGGCACTCGTGGGAAATATGTGCATTACCTATGCTTATACTATTTAATGCAGCCAGCAAGCTGGTATATGTACTTTGCCATATATCAACCTGCTTCACAAATTTGGTGACTTAAATGTGTTATCACTGAAGCCATGCACCAACTCATATTGCACCTGTGGGAACAACAGAATTGTCGCAGCGGCTTGCCTATTGCTGCAACTTACAACGAACACACGATAAAAGAAAATGAACATAATGCCTATCAACCTTGCACAGTGGCGTGTGAAGATGATCATGTTACGTCTGGCACGCTGATAGCGTGCGAATATTTAGTTGTGAGAGCCAGCAACATTGCTAAAAATATTTGATAACACAAATAAAACCAACAACAAAAACAACATAAGAAGCTAATTTAAAGTACTTATGTATACATATAATTAATACAATAATAATTGATACAATTGATTTTTATAATAAATTTCATACAAAACTTAACAATTGCCTAAAAGGAAAGCTGTGCGGCAAGGAAATTGCGGCATTTATGATCTCGCAAAATATTGCAGTTGCTACACAATAAGAAATTAAACTTTTTTATCTAAACAACTTTTTCTCTTTACTCAGGTTTTTCCGTAAGAACCCTCAAGGAATGCTGGATATAAAATTGGTCTCTTGCTACAGGACTTAAAATCGCATTGTCAGCTTACTTTCTCTTGTCTAACACCAATTATTTGTAAGTGATAGACTTAAACATCTACATCTTCACATATAAGTCAAGATTTGGTAAACTAAATGAGACACACCAACTAGGGTAAAATCCAATAGCATTAGCTTTTATAGTTACTAGATACACATACTTTCATGTGTGTAACTTCCTTAGTTACGCACATAAGACTTTTATTACAGTCACTATTCATTCTATCGAATCCTTGTTTCCAATCCTCGCATAGCCACCATGAATAGGGATATTAGTAAAATGATGTATGATCATCATCGTAATAAATGACAATGATCAAACAAGTCAAGGCTTTCTAAACTTTAAAGGCCGATTGCATTTCAAAGCTCATTCTCAAGCATCTCGGAAATATTAGCCTCTAATACTGACTGACATTGTAAGCACTTCCATCAACTTTTATCATTATCTTTTATAAATGAAAAACTTGTACAACCTCACGGTTGAAGACAGGCAAACCGATGATAGATGAACCTTTAAGCCAATTTCTCTACTTTTCTCCAGTAGTTAAAGTTGGTACTGGTTCTAAACCAGATATTGCATTCACATTGCTCCTGTCAACAAGGATTTTAAAAAAAGCACTTGAAATATCTTTGTGAGAGCACATTTTAAACCTTCAATACTTTTTACCAAAGTCGACCTTATGAGCGCAAAGTGTAAGTAAGTATTGATAAATGCAAAGCAAAAGAACTGCCACCTGTACTGTTGCAGTATGAACCAAATGAGTAATGAAGCCAACATCAGTAAGATAAAATATAAATATAGGTTAACAGCAGTCCGGAAAAATGTATCATTCTCTTCGAAACCACGGTTGTACAGCAACAAATCTCTTAAAACGCTTGCACCTGAAATTACTAAGAATGACGCCTTCCTTGTTCAGTAAAAACTGTCCTGATTAAATTCTGGTCAAGTTATAACTATGAACTAAACCAAATTGGAAGGCCGCAGAAAGAAGTATATACGTCAATGATTGTCTTGGAGAAAAATACAAATACTGTAATAATTTTGGGATACCATAAAAATAAAATAATGTAATTTCACCAAAATATATTAAGGGAAAATTTGCGTAATTTTTTTTATTTTTCAGAAACGTGGCACGGGCTGCATATGTATTATTCGCGGACCGCATATGGACCGTGCGCCGTGCTTTCAATAGCCCTGTGCTAAACAGTTACTTTTTACACTTAGATACATCAATAACCAATAGGTGTCGTACATCTGTTTTTATGTCCCAATGTATACACTAATCTGAGCGCTACTGATCATTGACTCCGATCCATTGAAGATTAAAGATTCCTCTGTCTCTACAGAGCTAGTTTGAATTAAAATCAACACATCCCTCATCCATTTTGTATCCCAAACAACATCTCTTCTTCTCACTTATACCCTTCCTATTCTTTACCGCAGTGGTGTCGCTAGGGGTCAGCGATGTCTGCGACCGCCTACGGCCTCGCAAAAAGTAACCGACTGTGGATAGTAAGCACTTAATAAATATTTTGAACAATTTGGTTTGATAATGGCATTAACTATATTCGAAGTATTCCCGAATGTTTATATAGTAATTAGATTCATGTTCACAGTTCCAGTCAGTATAGCTTCGACGGAAAGAAGCTTCTCAAAGTTAAAATTGATTAAGACGTACTAGAAAAGTATGATGATCCAAGAGAGACTATCTCCATTGGAAACTCTATAAACTGAAGCCAAAATAGCAGCTGGCGCAAATTATGATATAATTTAAAAAAAATTGATTGAGGCTAAAAGTAGGAAAATTCATTTATTTTAATTTGTGTTTATTTTAATTTGATTAGCAATAAAATTTTCAATCATGCTTTATCGTATTAGTGAATGTAACTTATTTACTTTTACAACTGGGTTGTAATGGGGGCCACGCAATTCTGATGTCGCCGACGTGAAGAGTTAGTCTAACTCCGCCATTGCTTTACCGTACCATAGTATTTGTATTTTGTAATTCCTTTCATGTCTCCTGCTACAGAGATCTCTGCAAGCTACAACAATAATAACAAGGCGACTAGATGTCTAAATTAGACTGCTCAATCCTGCTATTGGATCCACAAAATGCTCTGAACTTTTAATTTCAACATTAATTTTTTAAAGTATGTTAAAAACCTTTTAACATACCGAGTTAACATACGAGTGTAACTTTTTATTTTTAAATTTATTTATGTCGGAGGTATTGTCTCCGACACAAATAATTTTTCAGTTTTTATATTAAATATAACATCCCTATTTTTCTTTAAAAAGCAGGTACATTTTTTTCTTACTTATTCAGCTGTTTTCACAGTGGGAAGGTATACAAATTTAAAACTTTTGTCAGATGGTCTTCTACTAAATTAATATGAATTCTACAGAATCTAGTGATGAACTGGAAGTAGCAGGTGACTCTGCAACAGTTTTTATCAGGTTATCTGAAATGGTACTACATATTTTATAATACTTTCCATATATTACAATAAAACTATTGTATTGTAGGTTCGGAACCAGTACTTAAACTTTCTGGAACAACAGTTAATTGCAAATGCAAAAATGTGGCGAGTCTCACACGACTTAACGCTCAACGAGACTAAATTTAAGGAACATATACATAACTGTGCAGAATTGTTGGAAAAAAAAGCTATTAAATCATGCATGATGACACAAATCTACCAAAGGAAAATGCTGAAAATAGTAAATAAAAATAGTTATTTATCAGATATTATTTTATTAACCAATTATTACTCATTTGTGTTATAGATAGCAGAAGTGCGTCGATCAACACAGCAGTGCCGTTTGGAGAAAACGTTACAATCTGAAATTGAAAATATAGGAAATATAAAATTTGTAAATACCGGCACACAGACTGAAAATTTCAATATTGAAAATTACGATTTGGAGACAATTCATTCACCTGATAAATTAAATACGTTAAACTCACTCTGCGAAAACAAGCAGATATATGAATATGGTGATAGCAATGAAATATATAAAAGAAAAAGATTAAAACTATTTAAAAATTCTAACGTTAAATCACGGATAAAATATAAAAAATTTCGGAGCAATTTAAAGGCAGATGCAACTACAAATTTAGCATATTCCAAAAGTATAAATCCTGAAGCGTCTTGCAACTTAAATAAGTCCGAAATTGAGGTAGATGAAATTGATGCAGAACTATCTAAACTATTTTATGAAGATGCTACAGAATTTGATCAGTTATTTGGTATTCATCCAAACGTTGAAGTAGACCCACTTGTTAGTAATATACTTAATGAAATTGAAAATTCCAAATTACCGAATATAGAAGATAGTAATAGTAAAAGTGATATCTCGCCAACATATATTGAAACCAATATGGAATCTAATTATGCTGTATCAATAAGTGAATCAAATAAACGGCTAGCATTAAATCAAGAGATGGCAAAAGATTTAAGTCAAAGTCCTTGGCCTTGTGAACTGTTTATGCAAAGACTTCGTTTACATGAATGTCTTAATCGACTAATTGATAAAGATCTTCGTTGGCATGACTTAATAAAATGTAAATTTAGATCTTTGTTTGGAGAAGACAGCGATGATGAATTTACAGTACATAGTCCTTCAATAGAATTAGATGATGTTTTGATTAATAGCTGCATACTACGAATTTCTGGTTGGATCGTACAACATTTAATGAAGCCATATAAAGATGGTTTAATAGCTAATCGTTTTCTATTTAAGAAATTAGCTAAAAAAATTGCAAAAAGTATAATCATGGAAAATCAATATCCTAGTAAGTTTATTTATTTTTGTTATATCTATACAATTTTTATGTATTTTATATATTTAGGTGAGCAATTTGTTAAGGAAGTTATTGAAAATTTCTTCTGCGAATATGTGAAAGTGACATCAATTGATTTTTTAAATAATATGGAAGTGCGAATTTACCCCATTGATGAGTAATTAATATAATTGTATTGGTATTATTATATTGTTTGCGCTGGTATTAATTTATTTAACTTTTTTATATATTTGTTCAATGTTCCAATTTATGAACTAGAACAAGTTCGGGTTAAATGGTTGTTATAAAGTATAGTGCAAATACAATAGTTTCTAAGTCACGCTTTAGTACGCTTTATAGATTTCTCACCTGATAAAATTTTCCTGATAGGTATACATATATATTATTATATATTAAATGATCTCCAATCCTTTTAAAAACATACATAAATTAATTTAAATTGTGCGAATAATACATTTCGACATACATAAGTAAACATAAGTTTACTCTGTCATGTAGAGAGTACTGCATAGTCAAACTGTCTTTGATGTATGAATATAAAATCAAGTCTATAATAATAATTAAGTATTAACAACATTAGGAACTAGATGACACTAGATGACGTGCTATCACTGTACCAGTAGATGGCACGCTACTGAACTTAACTAAATGTAAAATGACTATATGAAATCAGCTTCGGATAAGCTACCTGTAGTTTTTAACTATATTCTACGCATACGCCCAAACAAATTCAATTTGAAGTCCGATTGTAGAAAAATGAACATAATAAAAGAAAAAATTCATTCTTAGAAAATATATTAATACACGAAAAATGAAAAAAAAATTGAAATAAATGAAATATTTAAAATCAAATTTTTTTAATTTTATGCCGATGATATATGTTTTACGATATCCGTAAAATCTGTATGGTTATTTGAGTAAGAAATTCAAAATTTTTGAATTTGAAAACTTCCTCACTATACCCCATTATCTATTTAAAATATAATTATTGTCGCAGGAAAATAAATATTTAAATAATATATTTTTTGAAATACTATGAGTTGCGAATACATCAAAGACTAATTAAAATAAATACCAGTCATTCAATTAAAGGATATATATTGTATTAAAAATTAACATACAAATTAACTTACGATATTTGAATGAATCATTTTTAAAGTATTGATGATTTTTGATTAGCTTTTATCATGTGGACTTTGCCACGACACACTGTACATTGATTAATGTTAAAAATCGAATCATATATGGAGGCTATGAGACATATGAAATGACACCCTGCCCCTATCCATATGGGAGAAGGGTTCAATATTTCATAATGAATGAAACCAATGACAAATGTACATATATGGTATTTGTCCAAACAAATTTTGTGAAGTAATAACTGATTTTATCCGAAAAATGACCTCAATTTTTTTAAACTCCACAATGATTGAATAAAAATACTAAATATAACTTTTAGTATTTGAGTGGATTTACATTTTTTTCTGGTTTTATGCTGGGAAATCGTACCTTGCCCGTCCACCTTTTGGGTACATTTTTCCGTTTTTTGAACCAAATAATCTCCTCCCGAAAACGAAACACATGCACTTTGAAACGAAAGACATGTATATATTATAAAATGTGCCATATCAAGCGAGTTAAAAGTGAGTAACAAATTCTATGTCTTAATAAACAAATTTTGTGAGATATAATCTCATTTGCAGTGTTAATCGCTATATAAGGTACTGCAGCACATATTATATAAAACACGAAGAAACGTTAATAAGAAAAATCTCAATATCATAAAACTGCATTTTCACATAATCCTAATTTCTATAAGAATGTATAATTTTTTTTATTAAAATAATTAATACTATATCGTATTATTAGTTTAAAATGTTTGGCTTTTAATATTATGTTTATTAAAACTTTTTATTTAGCATAGAAATAAGCAAAACGTTAAAAAATTTTCTAATCACCAAAAAAGTTTCTATCTATTAAAAAATTTAGCACTAGCTTCAAGCTATTATAAGTTCTACTCACAGATGTTGCAAATCCTTTTTAAATAGATCATGAGTATCATAATTGTGAAGCGAAATAAATATATATGTTATAAAAATTAATATTTATGAGAATACAATAAAATTGAAAAAAATATTACATCTTTGAATTTTCTATTAATAACTGCGTTATTGAAGACGAATTCTCAATTTTTAAGTTTTAAATAGGCATTTATCATATACTAATAGTTTTTTGAATTAATATTACTTTAGTATTATATCAGGAATTTGTGTTTTAATTATTGAATAAGTTTCCATTCTTTAATCCAAAAATTAAATAATTGAAATGAAAAAGAAGGCATTTTAAAATTTATTTTATTTCCTAAATCAATTTTTTCGCTTTTAAGTAAATATAGAGAATTTAAATATATTTTATTTTTCTAGTATTAATAATACTTCATACCATATCATTTATAATTTTGTTAAAAATAAATTATGCTCATCCTTCTTTATTTTTATCTTATAATCTTTGAAACAAAAACATAAATTTAAAAAAAAAAATAAATTATTATTATAGGATTATATACATAAATAAATAAATATATATATATATATATATATATATATATATATATAATTTTTATATATAAAGAATGTTTCCTTTGAAAACATTATCAATTCATGCAGTGATTCTTTGAACTGCGATATCGTTAAAAATCGTATGAGATAGTGGTTTAAATAAATGTTGCTTGTCAAAAACTTTCAGTCGTCAATATTATGAAAATAGTTTATTCTAAAAGCTTGAGTTATTAAAGGTATTTTTTTTGATCTACTATCTATTAAAAATAGTTGAATATTTATGTTTATTCCTTCCAAATCATAAAATTTTTTAATAATTAGAGAGTATGTTAGATTTCGCAATATTTTTGCAATGCAGAAAATTAGTCATTTGAGAATAAATACATATATTTTTGATCAACTTAACAAGACAAAGTGGTTAATAATTAATATATAATATAATTAATAAAGTCTGTCTGTAAACAAATTAATCTGTAGAGATGTGGAGCGTATACATTTATAAATATTTGCAATTTGATTTTATGTCAAGAATTTCAAACATATTTGAAAAAAATTTTATAAAGTAAATAGTAAATCGAATAACAAATAGTAAATATTTAAGAATATCAAACATAAAAATGAACAAGAATGAAAATTAGAAGGCACATTCAATTACTGCGAAAACCATTTTTGCTAAAAACCATATTGGTTTAGTTTAGTTACCTATTTCAGGATTTCATTTCAGGATTTTTATATGCCAAACATCAAGGCGAAAAATTAACATATAGGATTTGAAATAAAATTTGTGCGTTTTGCTTAAATATATTTTATTTCAGAGAGTCAGGTTAGGAAATCTTTAGTTAGAAATTAGTGTCAAGATCAAAGAATCACCTCATGAATTCAAGATATTTTAAACGGAAAATCCCATGCAGCGTATATATTATATATCTAATTATGTTTATATATACACATATATATATACTTTGTTGGCTTAACAGTTAATTTGTTTACATTTAGTGTTTAAATAACATTCAACTATTAGAAAAATTATAAAACCAATTATGTGGAATAAATAAAAATCATTAATCGTTAATTAAAATTAAAATAATTAGAAATAAATTTGTTTTATATTTTATAATTTAATACACTTTAGAATTTATAACAAAAATGAAAATATTTAACATTTTTTTGTATGTTTTTATTTTGTTTCATATTGAAAAGAGTTACGCTTGTTTTTCAAACGCCATCACAACATATATTTTATATTTTTATAATAAAGTTTTTATTTCCATTTGTATATAATTTATATTAAATTTATTTTTCAGTTTGAAAGGCGTAAGTGTAAATATAAGTATTTGAATGAACATTAAGAAAGCATATTAAATAATGTATAATATGAACAATAGTTTAAAAGCGGAGGCCAGGCGGTTGTAATTTATTTACTAAGAAACATTTATATTCACTTTCATTTTTAGTTAAAAACAAATAGCAAAATGAATATTTTATCGTATAAAATTGGGCTTATAATATATATAATGAAATTTTATTTAATTCAAAGTATTTTTCTTTAATTTAATGAAATCTCTACGCCGTTAAGTTATGTCGTTGCCTTAATAAATTAAAAAGAAATCTAATAAAATAGACCAGACCGCGCACCTCCAAAATTTCAATTTTGTTGCAAAATTGTTTTAGTTGTGTTACATTTATAATTTTATTTATTTTATTTTATTTTATTTTAAGTTGCTAATTTTATCTCTATTGTCGTGCATTCACATTAAAATTTGTAGCACAATGAAAGACGACGTACATATAGTATGTTTGTTTTAAATTAGTTCATGTGGTTTTAATGTTTTTTCCATTCATTCTAATTTTTCTATAAATATTAAGAAATCGTAATAAAATTTCTTACCAAGTGTTTTTAATTAACGATATTTTTATGGTTTATGCTTTTTGTTACCATATATATATTTTTATAGATTTATATAAACTTTTAAAATAATTATATGTTATATATTACGAGACCCTTGCTGCTGTGTTTAATGAAGTGCTTTGGCTAGTTCTATAGCACTACCTAGTATCTGGAATTTGATTTGCTGGCATCGGTGTGGTAGGTTGTTTATATTTTTGTTGTGATTGGCCTTGTTGCTGATTTGGCTCTGAACCTGTAGCTATTGCACCAGTGCCTACAACTGGAGGGGGCGGTGGACGACCGCGACGTTCAATACCTCTATCAGAAATTGGTTTGCCAGTGCCTGTGCCGCCACTTGTAGCAGATGCTTTCTTTTTCAACAAATATGTTTGTTGTTGAGGTTGTGGCTGTTGCTGTTGCTTGTACTCCTCGGAAAAATCCTCCGGTGAAGTCTGTTGTTGTTGATGAACTTGCTGACGACTATTAACACCGGTACCCGAAATATGTATACCACCGTCGGACTTCGACTTGTCATGTGTTTCAATTAAACTTTCACCAATATTTGTAGTACCCCTTTCATTATTTACACTATCACTGTTGGTTTCTTGCGATTCTCCTCTCTTTTCATGGTCCAAATCGATATCAAGATTGACACGTGACAAAGCGGACAGCAGCAAAGCTTGCACGAACTGCGACCTACAAAAAAAAAGCAAGTTAATTACGATTTATTTTATTACATTATTTTGGAAGGAAACGTTCGATACAAATAACGAAACGAAAAATAATCGAAATATCAAGAGATAAAACAGATACAAAACAAACAGACTTATAGACTTCTAATGTGGATATTTTCTTGCGGTGTACTCTTAAAACTATAACACAAATGTTAGTTATAGACAAATTAAGAAGATTCTGCATTACCTGAAAAAAATCTTAACAGAGTTACATTCCTCTACATACTAGAACATGATCACTTTTTTAAAATGAGTTAACTGTCTATTACCACAGGCATCTAAACATCAGAGTTCGGAATGTGGTGCACAAAATCGCACACTGCACTGTGCGAGTGGAAATTATTTTTAAAATATGCACACGCACATTTGTGGTATTAAGAAAAAAAATGCACGCACTCAAATTTGTTGTGCGATTTTAAATTTCACATCGCACAAAGCGATGATTGTGCACACAGATTCGTGCACACACATTTGTGCTGTGTGACTGATTTTTAAAAATGTGCACAATCAGATGTGCGAGAAAATTTTATGCTCGCACCGCACTGTGCGACAAAAAATTCTCTTTGCACACGAGTGTGCTGCTCATATTACGTTTGCACAAATGTGCACAAAT